CGGGTTATCCATCGGTAGTGACGGAAATTGTATTGTGGCTGATAGCGGAAATAAGAAAATTAAGTTATTTTCCCGTACCGGCCAGTTTCAACGTAGTATAGGCTCTGAGGGTTCTTTCACCTTTCCCTTTTACTGTATCCAGTATAAGGAATATCTTATAGCATCAGACTTTAAGGAAGACTGTATCAAAGTTTTTGACAAAGCTGGACATTTTCTGTACAAATTTGGAAAGCGTGGAACAGGGGACGGGGAGTTCAATGGACCTTATCATTTGTCAATTAACAAAGCTGAGCACCTGATGGTCTGTGATGAAAACAATCATAGAATTCAGGTGTTTGAGGTAAACGGAAATTTTATTGGAAAATTTGGCTCAAAAGGAAAAAAGATAGGACGATTTTCTAGACCACTTTCTTCAGCAGTCCTCAGTGATGGTAGGATAGTTGTTACTGAATTTTACAATCATCGGGTTCAGATATTTGAGTAGCCGTATGTTATGAAGTGTTATAATAGTAATATCCATGATTAATTTTTCACATTCTTTAAACATTTTATTGACTTCATGTGAAATCTTCTTGTTACATTTGTAGTTTGAAACTTGAATTTTTTAACAATGTTACGTTTTACAACGTGCCCTCCAATTGTAGCCAAGAAGATTACTCGCGCAAACGAGTTTCAATACATAGCAGGTAAACATAGCCCTTCGTCAGAGCGATCGCCCTGACGAAGGGCTAATGCTCGAAACGTCAGCCTTTTAACTCCTTACGGCAGTCAATTAACGTTTTCAACTCAGATGTAAACACTAAATTAACTGTTATACTCTCCCACCAACGCAACACCACAGGTTCTTTATAAACTTACCCCCTTTATTCAATGGACATAGCTCTGTATCCAGCGAGTTGAGTAATATATAGATTTAGGCAAGCCTAAAAGCGGAGCTCGCATTTTTTTTTTCCCGCACGTCTCTTAACAAAACTAAAAACCCTTACTAAGGATAAAGTGCATGGTAATATTAATGGATTTTCATTCGCGACTTCTCCGTGTCTGTGTAGAGGACTGATTATAAGATAGTGCCCGTGGTACAGTTGGCCGCGCATGCTAAAAGTAGCACCTTGTACAGTCGTACGGTCGTACATCCAAATTTTTTCGGCTTGATGGGTTACTACTATTTTGTATAATTATGGGGCTACGCTCTGCGAGCTCCGTTATTAATATCATAAAGGATTGTTAACTATATTAGCTTTTTTTTCTGAAAAAGAATTCAGTTGATAATTTGTAAAAGGATGTTTACAAGACTCGATTTGGTGATTCATAATGTACATTTTGAGACTGACTGTTGAACTCCAAGATAGAAGGTAGTGGTTAGGGAATGAATTTTTTCTGATTTTGTTGTTGTGTTAGTCGTTTTTGGTAATAGGCTTTTGAGATTTAATTAAAGGTAGCGCGGAATTGTCTCTCTACTTAGGAGAGTTTGAGTCAACAAATAAGAATTCCATCGTATTTTTAATTTTTAGTAACGTGAATAGAAAAAAAAAAGAAAAAACTGAAAAAGTCAGGTAGTGAATCAAAGACTACTGAAAAATTTTCTCGCTGCACGTAGGCATCGCATGCAGTGCTTTTGAATTTTCTTGTATTTGAATGAAACTCTTTGAGTTTCGGATAAACTAACTCAAAAACTTCTTTCCATAATACCAAGACTGCAAATTGCCGGAGAACGTTGTTCCCAGGTATCAGACCTTGTTTTAAATAATTTGTGCTTAATTAGATTTGAATTTCTTTTACAATACTTAGATAGGATTAGTGTAATATAAATTTATTGAGAGCACTTCTTGTTTTTATTCTAGCATGTTAATCATGATATCTACTACTTTTGTAATTTTTGAATTACAAAGATTGCTTAGTCACCAGCAAAAGTCTAAAAGGAAGTTTTTATGTACACAATCCTTTCAGCTAAATGACTAATTGTCATTTCTCAGACCTGACTGTAGTTATGATGGGATGATCAAGTTCGCGCATGTGAAACAAATGCAGCTCTTTTTTAAGATTTATATTTAGCAGTCACCACTATAACGTTTATGACACTGTTACCAATAAGTTTGGCCTCTTTAATTGCTTCGTATATGTTTCATCTATCACGAAAGGCGGGGCTGAACAATCCAGAGAAAACGAAGTTTAATGGATTTAAAATTCAGAGATCTTTTCAGAGATCTTGTGTTGCCGCAGTGATTGGATTAGTGTGTGTCATGTGTGTCATTTCCCAAGTGCAAAAGTAAACTGTCAAAACATATTGTTAGGGCTTGAAAAACGTTCGAAATCAGCGCCTTTCATTTCCTGTATCGCCGAGTCGGAATATTTAAATCTATGACTTAAAGCTTAGTCTGACCAACTTAAGTTTGAGGCCCAATGGGTATCCGATATATGTAGACATGTCTGTATTTCCCCGCGTCAGAGTTAGATAATATACACAGCTGAAAATCGATCTGATTGTGTTTTACTAGTAATACATATCGTCATTCCTGTTTTAACCCGAGCGGGGGTGAAAGCCTGTCATACAGGTCACATTCTGAGCGGAAAATCATATAAAGCTGAAGGGTTGGTCACTCTTTCGTCACTTTTCTACGACATGAATAGTGGTTCTGTCAGCTGCACTCTAACAGGTCAAAAACATCTCTTTCGTTGTTTCAGCATCTTCTTCATGCCTGCAAGGATGTTAGCTATTGCACGCAATCATGATAAAGGTACGTGACCTGTAAGTTCAGAATCGATTCATGTGAAACTGAACAGCCTAAATTTAACTTACGTACTCGATTGACTTGTGGGCTGAGAGTCAAAATGATGACATTTTAAAAAGGGCATTTTACGAAAGCAGAAGGTTTCGCACCGAGATGATTTGGTTTTTGGGGAAGCAGGTGGAAGCCCGATCAAAGATAGGTATTTCGCGTTCATTTCATGTTCCCTTCACTCTAATCAGTTTTACAACCTGGCATTTCTCAAGTTTTTTAACGTGACTTAGATAATTCGAGAGTTCGCAAATGTATTTTAGCTGAAGCCATTTAGATTTGGTGACAAGGAGTAAACAAAAATTGCCCTCAAACCAAACGATCACTATTGTCTCAAAAAGTGACAGAGGATCTTCCAACTAACTTTCGCATCAACAGCCTCCTTGACCTGTTGGCCATCAAAGAGTGCAGTGCTACTGGAGTTAAGTGTGGAAATTGCGAAGAGAGCAGCTCCCAAAGCTTTTACTGCTTTCAATGTTGTGCTTTCTGGTGCGAGACTAACTGCATCAGTCTTCACAATGGAATAAAAGCGAATAAGGAACACACACACATTCCACACTAAATTTTCAAATGATAGTAGTGTGGTCTTTTAGAGCCAATGAGGAGGCTACACTAAAAACCAAACAACCAATCAAATTTCAAGGCTTGTTTAAAGTAACCAATCAAATTGCAGGAAAATAAAAGACAAAGAGTATCGTGTGGCAAATTTTGCAACTTTTGTTTCCAAAGCTGTTACTTCCCCCCCCCCAAAAAAAAAAAAAAAAGAAAAGAAATGGATGAATTTAAATTCAAACCGGCTTAGTACTGCATCAATAAAATATTTGAACTGACCAAGTCCTGTATTTGGGCGATTTCAAAAGGTATGTGTTAAAGTGGTAATTGAACCTCGTGTCGTGCAATTTTGAAATCACGCGTATCATTTCAGCCCAAATTGCACTCCACTCAGTTCAATTACCATTGTTTAAATTTAGCGGTTAGCACCGTAACGTTCACGATGTTGTTACAAATACATTTAGCTTCTTTGACTGCTTCGCCTATTCCATCGATCATGGAAAGAGGGGCTGAACAATCCTAAGAAAACGCAGTTTAATGGATTACAAATTTGGGTTTGAGAACTTGTGTTGCTGCAGTGATTGAATTATTGTGTCATTTCCTAAAGAGTGCAATGGTAAAACGTAAAAACATTGGCGCTTACAGAACGTTCGAAATCAGCGTCTTTCATTTCCTGTTTCGCTGAGTTGATGAGCAATCAGCCAAATTGGAATATTTAAATCTAAGAGTTAAATCTAAGTCTAACCAACTTCAGTTCGAAGCCCAATGACTATCCAGTATATCTAGATATGTCCGAATTTTCCCTGCATCAGAGTTAGATAATATATAGAGCTGAATATCGATATGACTGTATTTTGACAGTAATGCATGTCGTCATTCCTGCTTTTACCCGGGTAGTCAGTACTATACAGGTCACATCTGAGTGGAAAATCCTATAAAGCTGAAGGGTTGGTCATTCTGTCGTCACTTTCCTACGACATGAATGGCGGTTCTGTCACCTGCACTGTAACAGGTCAAAAACATCTCTTCTGTTTTTTCAGCATCTCTCTTAGGCAAATATTCTTGTTTATGCCTGCAATGATGTTAGCTTTTGCACGTATTCATGATTAAGTTAAATGACCTGTAAGTTCAGTATCAATTCATGTGGAAACTGGACGGCCTAAATTTAACTTATTGACTTGTGGGCTGAAATCAAAATAATGACATTTTAAGTTTCGCCTATGATGATTTGGTTTTCAGACTCGAGAGCAGGTGCAAGCCCCGTCAAAGCCTAAATTATTTTTCAGGCTGCAGTTACTCTTCAACCGATTTCCGGTCAAAACAAGTAAATAATGGGTAATTATTCTCTTACAAGAAAGCACATCACGTTGATTGGAACTTTTCTCGTTTCTTTTAATATTAGCGGCATTCCACACGAAATTTTCAAATGATAGTAGTGCTGGTCTTTCAGAGCAGCATGTCCTATGTTTTATGAATAAAAGAGTTTTTCAAAGAAGATGTCTGATTGCGTGTATTTGTTTTCGACACCTTTGAAAAATGAATGATGTCTTCACTTTTTTTTTTTTGTGTTTGAAACGTCCATAGTATTAGAAGGCGTGACAACACCTGTCACGCAATCACCTCTCAACGAGAAACATTCATGTCCATTGGTCAGCGGGTATTACTCCAAAATATAATAAATTACCGCCATGTCAGTTTAGGAAAAACTTAGTGTTTGTACTGTATAAAAGTCGCCCTTAAACGGAGAAAGACATCCAGGTGGTATTCACAAATGAGATAAAACTAATATGAAGCACGCAGAAGAAGAGTGTGTTCAAAAATTAACGGTGAAAAGACTCTTTCTCACCCGTGGAAAACTGAAAGCATCAAGTCGCACATCGGCTTTGATGTCCGGTTTTGCCATGGTAAGTGTTTTAATGTTTCAAATTTTCTAACTTTAGGAAACAGAATACGACTTTATTCAAATTTTGTGATGTTTAACAGAGAAAAATTAGCGTGTGGATCTCTAATTATACTGCTTTTTTATGGAATTTTTTTGTTTACAAATGCGTTTTGTTATGAATTTAAATTACTCTTATATGTTAATTCTGATTGTTAAAAGTGAGTCTTTGTTGTTTTGAGAATTTTATCTTTTCCACATTTGCACAGCGTTTTTTCGTTTTCATCCGTTGCGGATAGGTTAATTGTATTTGGACAAGTTATAAGATCTTTGCATGATCTTTGCGTCATGTGGAAGTTGAACATTCAGCTTTAAAATATAACTGAGATACAATGATCACCCAGCACCTGTAAACCCATAAAAAATTTAAGTTTATTTTTTTAAAAGCAGTAGACTGTACTTTCGGTTATTTACTGGTGTAATAATCCACTTGGGATGGTGGAAGAATACTCGGGAAGTTTGTAAATCACGAGCTGGGGGCGAGTGATATACGAACTTTTCTTGTCCTCTTACAACATCCTGCATGGCCTGCATGGGCCATCATGCTGGTTAACTGACAGAAGGTGCTGTCTCTTGCTTAAATGGAGCCTGGATAGGGGACGCAACTCATCTTGAGCTACATGAAGGATACTCTGTCCGATGGAGATACAATATTTTTTAGGTCAGACATAGAGAGGGGAGTAGGGAGTTTATTTCCATATTCTATCATGTGTAATGCCCTTGAAGAGAAAGTGGTGAGAAGAATAATATTGCAGTTGTTCCGCCTGAAAGACAATCCGCTTGAAGTCAATCTGCCTGAGAATGAAAGTCGATCGGCCTGGCAAACAAACAAATTACAAAGATTATGTTGTTATTCCATTCTTTTGATTTCTTTTAGTAATGTTTGTAGATATTTGTTGACCATGCTATCAAAACAACAGCTCATTCAACTGCTGGAATATTTAACTTCTGCAGAACTTCTGCGGAATGTCAGTATACAACTCAGCAAAAATATTAAACCATTCATGTTGTGTTTTGTTACAAAAACTCATAAAACATTAGTTTTGTTTAAGATACCATGTTAAAGAACTCTACACAATGCATAGATAGGACGACATACACATTGGGGGAAATGACTTCGAAGTTTGGGTGGAAAGTTCTTGGGCGGAACGACTGCATATCAGTGAGAAAATGTAACTGCTGTGCTTTATGACTAGACTTTTCATGGAGATTTACTTAAAGGAAGGTGTATTCTAGCAGTTGCATTTTCTTTCACTGTTTAATGCTGCACCTTTTCAGGAAAAAGGAATTGAAAGAGGAAAGGGTTTTGACCATAAGGCAGAGTATCTGCATGTACATGCAAAACTTAATTTATTATCTCAAAATGCATCTGTTTACTATTGTTGCTGTACTATCCTTCCATTAATTGCACAGAACCCTTCAGTGAAGGACCTTTTCCCTGTTTCATTTCTAGGTAGCCATGGTGGAAATTCAGTTAGAACCAGGTATACCAGAAGGACTTTTGATAGCATTCAGTGTGATGACTACCATTCTGATCTCAGTTCATGTCTTTGCACTTATGATATCTGTCTGTATTTTGCCAAACATTGATGGCGTGGCAAATATTCACCAACAAGGCACCCAAGTTGTACGTGATTCTCCTCATGAAAAACTTCACACTCACATTGAAATTGCATGGATTTTCTCAACTGGTCTTGGAACACTTCTCTTTTTAGCTGAGATTGCTATACTCTGTTGGGTGAAGTTTTACAATTACAGTAAGCCTGCGGCAGTGGCTGCTTCTGTGGTATTAGTACCTGTATGCATTGTGTTTGTATGGTTTGCAGTGCACTTTTACCGGTCTCTTGTCCAACACAAGTATGAAAGATCATTTCAGGGAATTGAAGAACTTCAACAGATTGCAAACCAACTGCACACAGATACAGGGACAGCACCAAGCTCACCAGCAGCCAGTCCATTTCCTAATCACCGGGTTTGAGATAGTTTTATGGCACACACCCAGTGTGTTATGCTTTTTATTGCCATGCTCCTTTTTCTTACTGCACCTCCCAAAATCTAACTTGCAATCCTCCCCTTTGCTGCTTCTATTTTCCTTGTAAATTGATAAAATAATTTTTATCCCAACTGAAGATAATACCCTCTAGCTCATATGTTGTGTTTCCTTGTAACCTTTTTTCTGGATAATCTATTGAAACTGTAAAGGGACAGGACATGATAATCATTTTTGGAGGGATAAGTTACAAATTGGTGTAAAACAATAGAAACTCCCAGAAGTGATGAACATATTACTTTACCTTATAATATTCACACATTCTCCAGCAAGTAAGTAATGAGAATACTCAAACTTATCAGGAAGAAGTTGTCATCACGATCTATCATCAAAAACCCACAAAAGATTACAAGGAAATGTGTAGCAGGTAGAGGGGAGAACTAGCAATGAGGTCTTGGGAGTTAAAGGGTTAAACCACCACCAGTATTTTCAGGGTGTCATTGTTGTTGATCATAAGTGCATTGTGATCTTATTTGCTCTGACTTTTCTGTGGGGTACTTTTCTTTGTATAAAGTTAAATATGGAATAGTTATAAATAATTGTAAAATGCAACAATGATTTTTTTTTTAGACAAAGGGGCTTCCATTTAACACTTAAGCATGGTAATGCAAAATTCCTTTGATACTGAGCAAAGAACTCTGAAAAATTCTTAAACATTATGTAACATTGTTTAAGAATAACCACATGTGATTTCATTCTTAGGAAATTTTCCAAATCAGGGGAAGGCTTTTTGTAGTTGTTTATGATGGCTAGTACTTCTGCTGCTGATTTTGCAAATTTACCATGATTTGGTTTATTTGTTTCCATCAGTGAAGTAATAATTTAACTTCAGCCTATTGAATCAAAGTGGTATAGGCATGGACATTGGCAGTATCTGTATGATAAAAAATTGATTAAAATGTTTAGCTGTATTTCTCCTTCTTTTAACTACAATTTTACATCTTACAAAGGAATTGGTATTATTTATTTTTACTGTATTCAGAACTAGCATCAACAGAATACTTTACTGAATTGGTAATGATTACTAGAGTATCAAGTAGGTTGCTGTACAAAATTTATTAAGTTATCTTACGCTTTATTTATTTACATGATGCAGATGCATTGTACATTACAGAAACAAATCTAAACCAGAGTAAACAATCTGCTAACATTTGTAAACATTATTGTAATCTGCATAAAGCAGAGGGGATTTTCTTGGTGAGAAAATTGATCAAGTTGATTCTTGAAAGACATTGGGCAAGTCTTTTAAAATGAATCCAGAAGATTCTCCAGATTGCAATTGGTTGATTTCTTCTGTACAAATCTATACGCTAGACAGGTGTCTTTGAAAAACTTGCACTCAATCCTACCCTGGGTATTTCCATGTTCTTGTATTTCTTCATGATTAGTTAAAAAGTTTTAGACTAAGCTAAAATTTTGGTATGGATATTTAGCTATGCTGATTTTCTTCTTTTAAGGACACATATTCATAGATCAGGTTTTATCTGTTACAAAATTCCAACACCTCTGGCTTTTGTTGTTATGTACATTGCAAAAATATAGGGACAACTCAATAAAATGGTAATAAATCTACTAAGATTGTTGTTCATCAAGAAATGTATCTTCTGCCTCTTTTATTACTCCTCTTGTGTCTTGTAGTTTGCACTGTATGTGAAAAAAAAAAAAAAAATTTTGCAAAAAAATTTTTATTCAGGACTTATATTTTTCCCACACTTACAAAAAAAGTTTAACCCTTTAACCCCTAGGTGTAACTGGCATCTAATTTCTCCTTACAATATCACCCCTGAATCAAACATTAAGGTCATGAGAGTAAAGGAAATGATCATCAACTGAAGAAGTTCTTTCTTTTTCTTTATTGTTAAACAAATTCTCCTTGTCAGCACCTTAGGTAACATGTAGAGAACAGTATGGAGAATATGCATACTGATGTTTAAGGGTGTGAAGAGTTGCTCAGTAAGTTTAAGTCCAAATTTATGTTTTTGCACTTTGTTTATGATAGACTTTTTATTCTCACTGGACATCTTTGACATTGCTGATCTTGACAGCACACAAAACTTTTTTTGTATATCACGAACAGAGCTTTTAAGTTGATTTTGCTGGCAAAGAGTAAGATTCTTGACTTCTTAGCATTCGATTGTGACAGAGTGGGCATCACCCTCCAGAGGGAGAATGGAGGCATACTCCCCTGGAAAATTGTGACAAAATGGAGTAGCTAAGACAAACCTACATGGCTTAACAATGATTTCTCAGATGGTCAGTTGGTTGAGCATTCAAATGCAAGATTGAAATCTTAACAGTATTCATAAATAAATTACATTGGCATCCCACTTGTGAAAAGAACCTTATATTGTACATTATGTTTCAACACTATTTACTTTTACGAATAAGACACAAACCTCAGGTAATGGGTATGTTGTTGGGTTTGGAGCCTCATGTCGACCAAAATCTTCCACAGTGCCACATTTTGGAATGTCATCACACCATACCCCAGTGTACATCTGCCCTCGATCAAGATAGAAGAATTTTCCCTTACCATGTTTTTTGTCGTCTTTCCATTGACCTTCATATCGATTTTCATTTGCTGTTGAACAAGCAACAAGTACCATAACTTACTTAATGTGACACAAGAATGAATTGAGAGTCTAGGTTGTTGTGATGCTCTTCTTCAGATTAGTAGCAGCCACTTTTGTTAACCCTTTCACACCTAAGATCTAAAAATAAGTTCTCTGTACTGTGCCCCTTATGTTGCATAGGATTCTAGTTCTAAGAATTTGATGTTAAATCGAGAAATTTCTCTTTACTGATCTTTTTCTGACTGCCTTTTGCCTTTCTGTTCGAAAATGTAAAGATATTGTTTAAAAATTCCTTGTTGGTCGCTCCAGGGTGTGAAAGGAACCAGCAAAGAGATAATGGCCAGTAAACTTCCATAGAAATGGAAAAACCAGAAATGGAAAACCATCTTAAATTTCCATTCAAACCATGACAAAAATTTAAACTGATATATCATAGTAAATTGATGACCTACAGTCCAATCACAAACAATAAGAAAAATGATATCCCCCTTCATGCGGGTTCACCTGTTACAAGGCACCAATGAATAACAAGCTTACCTAGTCTGAGCATTCCTTCGCCATTTCTCATGTTGTTGTACCACTCTCCTTCATAAACTGAACCATCAGAAAAGTACATTCTTCCCCACCCACTTCGTTTATCAGCATACCACTCTCCTTCGAAGTATTCATTATATGAGTAGAAATTTGTTCCATAGCCCTGCAAAAGAAACAACAAAAAATTTATTATGAACGGACACATCAGTTGCATACAGGAAAAAAAACATGATTTACTAGTATCTTTTACATCAGTTTAGAAACTCCAATAGCACCCTTCTTGATATGACAGCAATACTAATATTCACATGTTACTAAAAGTAGCAAGATTTCAAGCCCTTTACATGTAAGCTCTTGCACTGCCATTTTCAACACCAGACCATTACCTTTTTCCCACATGACCTTTCTAGGGAATAGGGATGCCAAAACCTACTATAAAATACTTGAATAAAAATTAGATTTTTTCATTGTTTTCTAAGAAAACTCTATCAAGATTGTAGTTGAGAGTAACTGAACATTTCTATAAATGCCATGGATACATACATGTCTCTTATCATTTTTCCATCCACCAGAGTAAACTTTTCTGTATCCTCCTCCTTCAGGAACACTGTATGTACCAAATCCACAACGATGATCATCCTTCCAGTCTCCATCATAAATAGCACCTGACTTCTTCCATGTCATAGTTCCCTTTCCTTTTGAAATAAAAACATTGTATGCTGTGATTGCCAACATAATCTGAAGGAGTAGATCTCTCCATATTTGCCAAATATCTCTCATTTGAATATGAAATATATGAAATGAATTTTAAAGTAATACTTTCCTCTTTTTTTATTCAAATTTTTTTGGCTGCTTTTCTTCTAAAGGTGTATAGTTGGTCACATACATGTTTTTCTTTCTCACTTATCTGTTATAATCGATGGAAATGACTTATTGTTCTGTTAATAAGACCTTTTACATTATGCAGTTAAGATACTTGTCTGCTAATGAAATGCACCATTCACTTTGTATTGCTGTATTATTGCTAGATTTAGGTTAGATATTCTGTTATGCGTCATACCACTGCTCGCCTCGACTACTTGTGGCTAACGGCGTGCAGTGATTACTTTATTTTGTTTTTCAAACCTATAAATAACTGTAAACTGTTGTACTAAACTGTAATGCAAATGTGGGTCAGGATGTTTGGGACTTCAACTGGGCTAAACATTCGAAAACTACAATGTAAGAATGTCGTAAAACACCATATAATTCGAGCTCATACGCCTTTTCCCTCAGCCAGTTGATGAGTGTAATGTTAAAAAGGTAAATATCAAGCTATCGAATACGAATGATTTCTGCACGAGCAAATTTGTAAGATGCATGGGTAGACTTCGATTCCATAGCCACTTACCATTCTTTTGATTTTTGTCCCAGTCACCAGTGTACCGATCGCCGTTCACGGAATACACCGTATGATGAACACCCTTCTTCTGTGCCTTATAATCCCATTCCTTCCACAATGGTTCACTTTTCTTCGGATGTTTAGTGATCGGCATTTTGTATCTGTCTTCAATGCGAATTAGATAATTATTTACCCTCTGTAACTAAGGGCAGGCCTGGCTACCAACAGATAAATACCCATAACCCCTTTCGGTAACTGTAAACAAGATGGCGGCGCGCATAAACGAACCTTCTGTTTCGTCTTGTCGATAAATTTCTAGCTATGGAGGACTTAAGCGGGAAAAATGTAACTGAAAAGGAAGAGGAGGACTGCTATGCAATCGTGGGTAACATTCCAAAAGAATTTCACTCTTCTGATTTGCGAGCAATGTTCTCTAACTTCATCAACGATGAATCAAAGGGTTTTAAGTGTTTCCATTTCCGTCATCGTCCTGAGTTCAGACATGAGGCGGGATCGAGTGGCGAAGATAAAGAAATTAAGACGTCCTCGACCACGTGCTGTGTCATATTTATCCTAAAGACAAATCTTCAAGACCTAATCAATTGTTATCATGGCAAGAACTGGGTTGACCGACATGGAAAATATTTCCCTTCTAAGGCATTTATATCAAAAATCAGAGTTAAAGAAGGAGAAGGTTGGTGTTGATGTCACCCTTAACATAATTAGATTGAGAGATTGGTTAATGTAACCTTTTTGTTAGAACTCATAGGTAGATATTTTGGCTCATCATTAAGAGTGTCACAAAAACTCGGCTCCCTGACCCCTGAAAAACTCAGAGCCCTGGGTGTCTTGTAAACTCAGACCTCTTTATTCCAACCTTTATTAAAATTTGTTGCGCTTAACAATTTAAATAGATAAATATGCACACTATAGCACAGTCATTGTTTGCATCTTCAAAGTGAGAGCTAGCTTCAGTCTTTTCTGTGCAAAGAAATCAGAAAATAAAAAAAATTGAATGGTTTTGTCTGCCAGATGAAATAGAGTAGTTGCTAAATTTACCAAAGAATGAGGTTCATTGGGGAGAGATGTGTATTGTGTGATACTTGTAATTTCACTATTAATACAATGTCAAATATTTAGCCATGAACATGTCATGCTTCAAAAAAATCTGTGAATTTAATTAAGATCCTCTCCCTCCTTAAACTTTTCTAGCCTATCCTTGAATAAAATAAGTATTATTTCTTAACTTATACAGAACACTTAAGCTCATGTGTTACAAATTTTCCTTCTTTTTCTTAGGTTCTTCAGAAGACCTTTATAGAACAAAACAAGAAAAAAAACAAAATCTTTCTCCAAGGACAAACTTAGAGTTTTCACAACATGACCTTAGGGAAATGATAGAGCTTCACCCTCCTGCTTTGATGCCCAATGGAAATGTTGGAACATCCTTGTCTATATTTAGGGAATTGATAAGAACTTGCAAGCTACCTCCTCATGTGATCAAAAAACTAGATCTTAATTTTTCTATGGGAAAGTCCAAAAAGAAGTACAGCAATGTTCCACTGGATTACACAAGCCTGGAAAAAGGAAGGGTTCTTTTGAAATCAGCACCAAATGACAGAGACCACCACTTGGGAATGAATGCAAAACAAAGTGATTTACTGAGGGAGAGTTCTTTGTTAACTACTGATAGACCAGAAACTCAAAGTTCCAAACAGGATAAGGATGAAAATGTTTCTGAGAGAGAAGATAATGATGTGGTTTATGCCAGTGGTGGTAATGGTGAGAGCGATGAAGAGGAATGGGAGAGACATGAATCATTGCACAATGATGTCACAAGTCAGGAACGCACAAAAGAGAGATTATTTGAAGAGGATATTGAACTTAAGTGGGAGAAAGGTGGTAGTGGGCTTGTCTTTTACACTGATGCAGCATTTTGGAAACAACATGAAGAAGCAGACTTTGATGAGGAAACTGCAGATGATTGGGATGTGGATATGGAAATTTATGAAAATCCAGGTATGAATGTCATTACAATTTTCCCCCTAAAAAGCGTTATTAGGAAGTTAATGGCTAGGAAAAAAAAATAATATTAATAAACATTGACTTCTTAAGCATACAGTATTTACTGGGAATACTGCAAGTATTACTGCTTTGGTATACTTTTGTGTCTCTTTAGATGTCACTATTTGTAAGACTTACAGAGGAAAGAATAGCCATGTATAAGATGTACTTAAAAGCTGCTACACTATTATTATATCTGGAATAAGTTCAATGTTTTTCAGTCTCTAATGCTTGCCAACTTGAAACCACATTGAATTTTTACTGCAAAAAGTTTTGTTTTCTCACATTAAAGAAGTTGCATTGCTTTACTTAATGTTGGATTTTGGGATACTGTTGTTGATTGAAAGGAGATCTTCAAGCAAGAATTATTTTTTCTTTGAGAAAGAAAATACAATGGTTGAAATTCAATCAAAAGGGATCAATGTTGGCTAAGAATGGAGAAGATAAACATCAATACGAAAGAATTAGCCTGTGTGCAGGCACTCATTTTTCGTGCTCTAGGACTCTTGTTTTTCCACCTGCAGTCAGGGGGACATTTGTTAGGAGTGTGCCATTTTTAGTGCTTGACTCTTAGCAGACCTTTTCTCAGCTGAATTCAAAAGACACTAACTTTCTTGCTGGTAAGAAACACTTGTGTCAGTGCAAACAATGACAGCCTGCTTTAGGCTAAGAAAGAATGATCTAAAGAGATTTAGCCAAACTTTTTCAAGTTGCAAAGGTGACTATACAGCTCATGGAAAAACAAAATATTATTTTGCTTGTAGGTGGAGGTGACAAAGATTCCAGAGACCTTCTTCAGATGCGTATAGAAAAGCAATGGAGGAAAGGAAATGATATTGACTTAAATCAAATAGGAGGGTTTGAGAAACACACTAAAGGATTTGGAGGCCAAATGATGAGAAAGCAAGGCTGGAAAGAGGGTGGATGTCTTGGTTCATCTCAGAAAGGAATCACAGAACCTGTTTTTGCTGAAGGACAATTACCAAAGTGTAAGAGAGGCTTGGGTTACTATGGTGAGAAGTTACAGCGACATGTAAAACGAACAAAAGTTGAAAGAATTATATCAACTGTTTACGATGAACTGGAGAGCAATGAAGAGAATCTGTTTGAATCTTGGGGACCTGATAAACTAAAGAATCGAGTGGCAAATGAATGAGCAGCAAAAGTAGTTGGCATGCCTCCCCTTAATAGGTGGTCGACAACCTTTAGTGACCATTTTGTTAAAACTGGGCAAAATTGAATTGGGGGAGAGGGGAAGTTGTATGGAAGGTGTTAAAAGAAAAGAAAATAAGAAAGTCATGGTGTGTGCCAAGACTATTGCCACTTATTGTCAGTAGGTTTTAACCTCCTACAGTAGGTTAAAATGCCCAGAAAATAATTTATTTATCTAAACCTTATAAAAATTGAATATAGGAATTTATGATACTTACCACTTATTCATTTTGAGCTCTCAAGAGTAACTTAACCTTTTGAAAATTGTTTTCAAATGTTCTAAAAACTGGACTTCTCTGTTGATGCTGTGATTTTGAAACATCCATGGAAATTAAGCCACCAACTGTGAAGTCTTACTCCTCTTCTGTTTATCTTTTGGCAATCTTTTTTAACCATTGGGAGCTATAGATGAAGGTATTCTTGACTTAAATGATTATGCTTTTGTAGCAATAATCAGACCAGTAGCTGTTTGTGAATTGCACTTAGTGGTTTGCATGTGCAGCTATGTTACTGAGTTTTTTTTGGGTGTAATTGCACCTGTGTAGTTGAAACTTAAGTATGTTTGAAGACAATTTAAGAAGAGTTGGTCACTCTGAAGAGTCCCAGAATGCAAACAAAGTTATTAGGTATTCTTTAGAATACTGGTGATACAAGTTACCTGGTTTCTGGGATATACTTCTCCTATTAGTACATATTTAGGCTTTCAAAGGAGAACTTCCACAAAAACTTGAGAATAAAATTTTATTGACTTTTTTTTTTGGTTGAAAATTTCAACACTTGTCTCAAGTGACTTACCAGTGGGAAACTCCACTTACAAAGAACTGTTTAACTGCAAGGTTTAGCAAGACCATATTCACATTTTTACATTTATAACACATATTGTAAGTAACATGTTTCCTAGTTCTATCAAAGGCCTGAAAGGAATGGAACTTAAGACTTTAAACTGTCAAAAGGAAGTATGATTTTGAACAATGTAATGTTAATTGAATTGAATATTCTTGCATGCATGCAGGACTGAAACTTCTAGAGTAAATATCCACACATTTCTTTACACACCTCTCTTTTTGAACAAAACAAGCTTGGTTGATTTGACCATTGTCAAAAACTCAATCCTGAAGTGAGCTAGACACCAATAGAGATAATTAAGCAACACAGTCTCCACCATTATATTGAACACTATTCTGTATAGTTTATTTATTATGAAGCTCAGAAAACCGTGAACGCTCTTTGAAAAATATTTTTGAAATTAGTTATGCAGTTGAATCAGCCAATCAGTTGTGTGAACACTGAACTGTCAGTAATGTGTGTTACCTGATCTCCAACATGATATAATAAACATTCCTTAAATGGTTCAAGGGGTCACTTTTTTAGAGTTGTACAGTAAAAATTTTTTGCATGCATGAAAAATTTTGGGAAAATGTGTGAATTTATAGCATTTTAACTGCACACTCACTACACACTTTTTTTTTCTGTTTTATAATGTTACAAGGTCAGTTAATTTGACCACTGTCAAAACTTAATCCTAAAATCTTACTGATCTTAGTTGTTTAGCAGAATTGTAATTGAACTGATCGGCGTGCAATTTGGTCTGAAATCATTCACACAATTCCAAAAATCTGACGAGCCCACAGCGCAAATCAATGTATAGAAACCTTTTCAATCCACTTAGAAACTAATTAATTAGTATTGCTTAATTCCCCACAAACCACTTGGAAAACCCTCAGCCTGCTTCAGATCTCTTGAATACCTTTGACTCAATCTATCAAAGCTATCAGCAATTTCACTTGCTAATTGAGAAGCCTCATGTGTTTGTTCTCCTTCATTACGTGTTCTCAATTCATTTCTTTCAGCATCATTCCATATCATGAATGTCTCCAGGTCAGAGGCCAACTTGAACAGTGCTTCACGGTTTGCCACAACCCTCTTAACTCTTTCCTCTTGTCTTTTCTAGAAGTAAACAAAACCAATTTCAAGATATGATTTTCAAAGGTAAGACATCTTTTAGCTTGTGCAAAGGTTTTAGGTGTTAACTCCTACGCAATATTTTGAGTCATTTGTTGGGTATAGTAGGGTCAATTTTCTTTGGTATGCTTTCTAAAAATTCCTCCAACACTTTACTCCCAGAATTGATTTACATGTAAATTGTGATTTAAATACAGAAACTCAGCAGGTAGAAATTGTTATCTTGATTTAACACCAAGTTCTTGTAAATAATTTACAAAGAAAAGTTTAGCAGCGAAAGGGGAAATTAACAATAACATCTCAGGAGTTAAATGGTTAATTGCATTCACTTACTTTTCGTCTTTCCATAGCCTTTCTCTGTTTTTCGTCTAGTTCTTGAGCAGTGAGTTTACTTCTGTCCTTCGCGCATGTCTTCTGTAAAGCTTTGGGCACTGGAGATAGAGGCTGCTTTTCTTCATCAAATCCAACAGTAAATGCAATGCTCCTGTTATCATGAACAGATGATTTTTTCAAGCTTGTATCTTTTTCCTTCTGATTTTTGGGTTTGACTTTAGGTGGGTGTTCTTTTGACAAGTTGTTGTTTTTGTCATCTACAGCAAGATCTTTTGTTGTTTGACATGTCAAAGTTCTAAAATCTTTTGCAACATGACGAGCTGTAGCAAGAAGTTCAGAAGACGTCATTTTGGGTGTCTCATGACTGGTGCCTCTCCCAGCACTTATGAGAGACTTTTGTTGTAGGAGGAGTTCAACATTGTGTGCAAGCTTTCGAGCAGCTTCTTGTCGATCATGGATTCTTTTCAGTCTCTGTTCCACTTGTTGCTGTGAAGATAAAATGAAATGTGAAGACAAAGTGTTTATTTGTCTTTCAAACTACCTAATTTAGTGAGTTAAAGAGAGTGGCAAAAAAAAACCAAAATTTCAATCTAAATTGTTCCACATATCACTATGAGAAATTAGATCTTTGTTTTACAGACAGAGCAAGAAATGATTTTTGCTGAAAGATAAGGTCATTTGTTGGGCCACTGGCCAGTTCCTGAAGGGAACTGAATTTTTTAAATTTAAATGCATGGAAACTTGTCAAAAGCATCCTAAGAACTGTTATTATGATTATGATTTTATTATAAATTTGTGGGATTTGAATTAAACTTTGAATTAATGAATTTCCACATCCAAAAGTTTTAGATTAAAGCAATGAATCTACTGAATCCAACTCCTTTTATACCATAGGAATGTTTCAATTTAATCAACTCACTTTCTTCTGTCTTTCAGCCATTATTTGTTTCTCTGTGAGCCTGTCAAGGCTTATGTTTTCTCTTTCTGTAGTTTGGTCACAAAAACGCTTTGGTGGTGGCCTACAAACTGGCTGCCCTGTGGGAATGTGGAAGGCAACAGCATTGGTAGCCTTGCTTGATGTTAATACTTTTCTACAGCTATTTGAAATATCACCAGTCTGAGAATCTACTCCTTTCCCTTTAGTGTCATCCTCAGTTGACTGCTTGCTGTTTTGAAAAGTATCTTGCATTGATGTCTCTTCCTGCTTGTTGTTCCCATTCTGAAAAATTTTTATATTTTAGTGTACAGAATATTGATATTGGGTTAAATTATGCCGAGGTAGCAACCATAGTTGCATTTATAAGCACCTTTAGGGCCTTGGTAATTTTTTATCTTGATTGAATACCAAATTCTTGTAACTAATTGCAAGGAAATGATTACAATCTAGAGGGGAGAATTAACAATTAGATATTAATTATCCCAGTAATTTATCTCTTTTTCCTAATTAAATAGTGGCTCAGATTTTATGAGTATCATAATAAATAATGTTCATTTCTTTTGTTGAAAACCAATGATAGAGACTTTCAAATACCACCCAAAATCACAATAATTAAACTTCTATTTTTTTTTTCATTTGAGGGAGGGAGGGAGATGGAGGAAGACTTATCAGAGAGGAAGCTTTTAGACACCAGAGAGAGAGAGAGAGAAAGAGAGAGAGTAAGGCTTTATAGACAGGAAGGCTCATTGTGTGAGAGTCATTCAACATATAAGAATATTTTCTAATTAATAATATAATGAAATAATTATGCACATCTGATTGGCTGAAAACAAGTGCATTTTTCAACACAGGTGCAACTAACAGATAGCATGCCTGCTGTTAAAGTTTTGTCTGCCTTTACTTTCTGTGATGCTTTTTTCATGTAAATTACTAACAAGTAACATGATTTTTTGTGCAATTTGGTGTAATAAGCAGTTGTAAATTTCTCAAAGACTACAAATTGCACTGGCCCTACAAGTTCATGCAATTTTGTTGTCTTTGAAAAATTTACTCTTGCTCATTAACACCAAATTGCAATTGAAATCATGTTATTACTTATCTGAATTTTCTCCCAAGGGTGGGACAGGTATACTTTGAGTCAACCAGGCACTTCAAGGGAAATACGACAGGTGCATATTTTGAGAATTTAACAGGTATTTCAAAGGCAAATTATGTTTCTGCTGTCCAGCAGTGAAGGATGACTTAAGTCAAATAATGAATATATTAACACATTTGTAACGGTATTAAATTAGGGCCAGACACCTTTGATAGGAAGCGACTTCAACAGTTGTGAATTTTTTCTTTCTTAAGCAGGAATGCTAATTCATTATAAGCTCACCATCTCCCCACTTTCTGGTAGATAGAGGAAATGTTCGAGTTTCCAAGGCATTTGTTAGGCCAAATCCATAATTCATTCATATATTAGTCATTTTTAATAATAGGTCCGTGTTTTTTGCAGTGCTTGCTGAATAAACGGATCGAAGTATGTAGAAAACTGGTTTCGTTTTTTAATCGATCTGATCAAAAGTAATGCTAGAAAAAGCGTGTTTAATTGCAGACACGCCAAATGAGAGAGTTTTATTTTCCGAAACTTTCACGGCACAAATCTGCAAACTTACGTTTGTGGCGAGGGAAGTATGCATACGTCAGGTCTGGAGACTAAAATGCCGTAACTTTGCGCGATTGGATCTGTGATTCTTTAGATTCCACAAGCTTTCGGGAGAAAATCATACCTCTGTCAGCCAAAATGAGATCTTTTTCTTGCAAACTGCCTAGAGCTCTGGTTTTCTCTAGAGAAGTCTCAAAATTCTAAGGTAGCGATAAAATTGTAAGACTAACCTCGAAGTAACTCTCCATCGATCTTCGTTGATTCATTTCGCTAATAGTTTTCACTTCACGGTTACTGATTCAGGACGCTAAATAACGGTTCACCAGTCCTCTTAATACTAGGCTAGATAACTCTTTGCATGTATTAGAAACGTTAGGTATTTGACAAAATTTTGTTGTGTCCAAAACAAATTGACTCGTTGTGATGTTTACATTCTATGTTGTAATCTGATTGGCTGGTTGGAATGCCGAGCATTATCCCTGGAGATGATCCTGGAAACGAAGTTACCACGTTCGTGGAGACGAGGCTTGTGTGAGAGACAATAAATTTTAAAAAAATCATGTTGGCGGACGAATGATGGCGGAAAAGCTGCAAGATGTTTCCGATATCGAGGTTTCTGACGTTGATGTTTTCAGGGATACATCGTTGAGATACCTAGGTAAGCTCTGAATTTATTTTAAGATGGTCACTGGAGAAGAAAGTCAACAGCTTCTTATTTCGTCTCGACAGCCCTTTTAGACATCATTAATTAAAGCAGAATGCACAGCTGTTTGCTCTTACTCTTACAAATGGCTTTTTAGACTGTTCATCAATTTATCCAAGCATAACCGTTTCGGAGAATTGTACTATTTCATCGCAAAATTCTCTAATTTTCTCAAAACACATCAGGAGCTGGTTTACATGAGAAGTTGCTAGATCCTCCAGGGATGACTGCATTTGAGGTACCTCTTTTATTGACTGTTTTCAAGATCTTCTGGAAATAACATGGCTTATAGAAAGTACACATTTCGTACCCACATTAGTGGTGAAAGGAAATTACAGTGATTTCTTTTTGGGAGATTCTTACCCAAGTTCAAACGTTGTAATCGTGTGGCATGGTGGTTAGCGTGCTTTATGCACGATTTTTCTGACAAAATACCAAGACACCCATACAAAGAAGTATCAGTGAACTTTAACAAACTGTTTGGAACTTTGTGCAAAATTCCATTTTCCTAGGGACAGGGTCTCTTGTCCTCAACATGTGTTGTAGGTACTCTTTTTGTTCTTCCATCTTTTTTTGACAAAATTTTTAAGGATTTGATGTTTTACTCTATCCTTAAGAAAGAGATCTTTTTGGTCAAAATGTTGTAGACTAATTTCGGATCTATGCAAATGAAGTTGAATTTGAGAAGTAGCAACCTTTATTGGTGATAATGTATAGTTCTCATTTCTCTTGTCCTCTCTTTGTGTTACATTTTTTGAACCTGACAATTTTATAAGGGACAACCTTGGTTTCAAAAGGCTAGGGGCTATCTCTATTGGATGCCAACTTGCTTCATGTACACCCTTATTCAGGATAAGCTCTGAGGTAGTTGTAAACTGTTACATAATGTGACCCATGAAATTTACCTATTTCTTGTAAAAATTACTTCAGATTAATATTGGCAATACAACTTCACAGCTTTACTAGCTGTAGCTTTGATCTTGTTCCACATGTGCAAAAAATAGTGAGCTGTTAATCAACAAGAATACATTTTCACTTCTTGTCATGTGATTTTGAAGTAAAGAAATCTACTTCTTATCAGTTTCTTAAAATCTCGGCTTTTTTTCTTGTTTCTTTGTGAGTTAAACAGTGGATATCCAGTATTCTCCAATGGTTGTCTAGAAGCCAATCGACAATAAATGCTAGCTGAATGTTTGACTTCCTTGTCTACTTAAAGAAGCTTGTGCTTCAGAAATGAGTAGCAAGCAAACACACTGGCAGCTGATGCTTCTAGGAATATTTTGTATCAATATGTGTGAATTAAATTGATTGCGATTTAAGCAAGGTACCTGTTTGAAATATAGGACACCTGGAATCTATGGAGGCTTTCTGTTTAGAGAAGCAATATAGTTGAAGTCATTTTTGCACGTGTGAGAATGTAAGGTTTCCAGCACTTCTAAATTTGAAAAAAGGAAAACCTTGTGATTTGAATTTATTCCAAGGCCTTGTGGGTCAACCCTTTCTACTGGATCCTTACTGGTTGCATAACTTTCTTAAACTTCTGTTAAAGCAGAGTTTTAACTTCCTGTTTTAGTCAAATCAAAGGATATTAATAGGATTTTGATGGTTGAATTTTGCTGGTGAATACAGTTATATTTGTGTAGCAGAGCGTTCTAAGGGAGTTTTCATGCTATGTCTCTTTCCTCTCATCCAGTCATGTATGACGACTTTTTCTAGTTAGAAGCAGTGAAGGATGGAATCTCCATGTAAATAAATTGTGTGCAAGTTAATCAACTGTATAAGTTTACTAGTTCTGATTCCAGAGTGAAACTTGTATAAAACAAAGTAAAGAACTTCACATACCTTCATGTTAAAAATTGCAAGCCATTTGGTTCCAACTTTTGACTTAAAAGAAGCTGTTTCAGTTGGACACTAACAAAGCAGCAAACTCTGGCAGCTTCCTGGGGCTAAAATTTTGTTTTCATTCCTGTGTTATCAAGTAAGACTGGTTTACAGTGTTGTTCACTGGTTTTCTGTGTCTGTGATCATGGACCACAGCAGGAGCACTACTCCTTTCAAAACAATTTGTTTATCTTAGGTTTTAAGGGGCTGTACTTAAAAGCAAGTCCAGTGTTTGAAACAAGTCTTCAGCAGGTGGTCATTTTCATCAGTAAACAGTTTCTATTCATTAAAATGCAAACAGAATGCTAAGTGTTGAACTTTTACCAAAAGACAGAAAAACCAGGTTCCTTGAGCTATTAATAATAAATAGTGTTCCTTTATTAAAAATTCATTGTTTTTAAAACAAGTATTTTACCTTTTAAACTCTACTGTTCTCTGAAACTGACAGCCATTTCTAAATTTGTTTGATTTTGAGTATTTGCTCTAACTGTTGTTTTTCTGTCTTCCACTAACTTAGCACAAAGCTTTAAATTGTGTACATCTTGTTTGCAATGAAAGTTTACTTAAATGACATTTAGTTTATCTAATAGCTCAATGTGTCAGAGGACTTATCTTAAAATACCTGCAAAATTAGTGAACCATTAACCCACTTCCTTGTCTATCAGTGAGTAAGCTAACTAGAGCGTGAAATGACAAAAGGTTCAATTCTTGTGTTTTGAGTGACTTAGATAGATTTGAATCAGACAAGTGATATTTTCACCTTCCATTATCATAATTGTAGCTTTTGAACTCATTAGGTTGTAAAATAGGATTGACCTCAAGAAATCACCAGAAGGCAGCCTCTTGAGATGGTGTTTGTCAGAAGTTAAAAGTAATTAATTAGTCAACAGTCAAGTCTCGGAGATCTTAAAAGAAGGTTGAATTGATTTTCCACTGGATTTAAACCCCATAAACACAAAAGCTTAAACATTTTTTGTTAAACCTGGTTTGAAATTGTTTTCTTCACAGAAGTTTTTAAGATTGATGTTTGTCACCTTTCAAATCTAGAACAACGAAAATGTAGGTTAATGCCTAATTTAACCCTAAAGTATGTAAAATCAGTTTTTTTCCTTTTCTGTTGCCAATTTTTACTCTCTCTGAACATAAACCTGGCTGAACTAAGCATGTTTTTCTGTTGTCAATGTGATATTACCCTGCTTTTTGTTGATCTGGGTAAGATCAGTATTGAAACAATAAAGGGTGAAATTCTGGTAACAAGCCCTATAAATTGTATATGCCAAATATGCTTGACTTGTATGAAAACCTTTGCCAGGCTTGTTTTCAAACAAGCTATAATTTTTAGTGTCTGGATTGTGGTTTAAATTTTACTTCAGTTTAAAGTTTATCATACCTAGTTTATTTTAAGGTTGAAACAAAATGAAAGTAACAAAAAATTTGTTTAATTTAGCTGAAGACTACAAATTCATAGGAATTATTTATTTGTATCTCCAAATTGTGTTTTCTGTGAAAATTTGGTCACAAGTTTGTTACAAGGCTCTCGATATATTAGAACTAACCACAGCCAACATTTTTCTGCCATTCATTTGTGAGCCTAGTTTTCTCCTTGCATTTTCATTCCCCTTCCTGCCTTGTATCTGCAACTCAGGCTTCCCCCCCCCTCCCTAAAAAAAAAAAAAAAATGATGTTATCAGCCATAAGACTAAACATTTTAGTGAAAGTTCCCATTTTAACCAGGTGCATAATTGTCTCCCTTCACTCTCTCCTTGTCATCACCATAAGAGAGTAATATAGAAAATATGAATGCTCATGTTAGGATGGAAAGGGTGAAGACTACTGACCAACATGACTTCTTCTATACCAAATGTGACCCTAGCCACTAATAATCATTGCTTAGTTCAACATTTTTCATTAAGATTTGTTGATACCCATCAGGATATGCCAATGAATTTGGTGAGGCATTCCGTTCCCACATTCCTCGGTTCATGTACCTTGGTAGCTATGGAGTTGCCTCCACCTACTGCCTGGCAGACTCCATCGACAAAGGGAGGCAATGCTACCAGGAAAGTACCCATCTGTCCAGCTACCTTCAGAAACGCAAAGCAGTTGAAACCATGGTAGAAGCAGCCATCTGGCAGGGGTTGGCTTCAGTGATCATCCCAGGGTTTACAATCAACAGGATTTGTGCGGCATCTAGGTTCACTCTTAGCAGATATGCAAGAGGAGTGCCTCCTAATGCCCAAATGTGGATGACAACTATTGTGGGACTAAGTGCAATACCCTTTATTATCAAACCTATAGACAGGTGGGTGACGTCAGTAGATAACTTATTAAGTTTGTTAAAGAATGAGGTAACCATTTTATTGTTTCTCCTTGAAAAATTAAGCCTAGTCTGTCAAAATCAGTCTGTGTTGATCTTCCACAATTCTTTAACTCCCAAGATCTGATTGTTAACTCTCCCCTATAGCTGCTACACATTTTTTTGTAAATAAGTTTCAAGAATTTAGAGTTAGATCAAGATAACAAATTCTACTGAATACTTTTTAATATTCTTGTCACCTGTTTGCTCAATAATGTATGGATATTATAGGGAGAAGTTAAATGTTAATCACTTCTGGTAGTTAAAGGGTTACCCATCCCTCTTTCTCAAGTATGACTTTTTTCTGACCTTGTTTGTCTACCCTAGAAAAATTATATGTTTAGTTATTCACACTATGTACTTACCTATGAAACTATAATACTCGAGGCAATAGTGTCAAACATTTCAACTTTCTCACAATAGCTTTCTTTCTGTCATTCAGACTGGTGGATGGTGTAATGGATGGATT